AAGGTGTGCAACAAGGTTGTATTCTTTCACCATACTTATTCAACCTGTATGCTGAGCAAATAATCCAAGAAGCTGGGTTTTATGAAGAAAAACATGGCATCAGGATTGGAGGAACACTCATTAACAACCTGTGATATGCAGAAGATAAAACCTTACTAGCTGAAAGTGAAAAGGACTTAAAACATTTACTGATGAAGATCAAAGAGCACAGCCTTCAGTATGGATTACATCTCATTGTAAAGAAAACAAAAATCCTCACCACTAGAACAATAAACAATGTTAAGGTGAAGGGTCAGAGAAAAAGAGGAAGACCTCCAATGAGATGGACTGGTCAAGTGGCAGCATTGATGGACTCAAATGTGGCAACAGTAGTGAGGTTGGCCCAGGATGGAGCAGTATTTCGTTCTGCTGTGCCTAAGGTGGCTATGGGTGGATATTGACTAGATGTCATCTAACAACAACCTTGCAGTTGACAGTTAGCAGCCAAACTCAGAACACACTATGATACCGGGACTCCTTTATTAGTCATTTGTTGTTAAGTACCCTCACGTCAGTTCCAACTCATAGTGACCCAGTATAGCCTTTCCAAGGAGCAAACTGGTAAGTTTGACCCTGTGGTTCAAACCAACCTTGTGGTCCTGCGCTCATCCTACAGCGTCACACCAGGACTCCTATTAGTCATCGTTGTTGTTGTTAAGTGCCGTCGAGTCAACTCCAGCTCATAGTAACTCTGTATAAGGTTTCTGAGAAACAGCTGGTGGGTTTGAACAGCCAACCTTGTGGTTAGCAGTCCAGTGCTGATCCTTCAGCATCATACAAATTAAGCACACAATGATATATTACTATCCTAGTTGTTGAGTCTGATGCATAGCGATCCTATAGGTCAGAGTATAGAATTGCTCCTTAGGGTTTCTGAGACCAAATCTTTATGAGAACAGAAAACCTCATCTTTCTCCTGGAGCAGCTGGTAGGTTTGAACCACCAATCTTTATTTTAGCAGCTCAACATTTTACCCACTGTACCAATGGCTCCTTACTATCCTAATGTTAAGTAACATTGAGTCAATTCTGACTCATAGCAACTCTGTCTCGGGTTTCCAAGAAGCAGCTGTTGGTTTTCAACCACCAACCTTGTGATTAGTAGCCCAGTGCTGATTCTACAGTACCACAATAGGACTTCTACTACCCTATAGAATGTCTAAAATTAAACTGATTAACCATTCTAAGTGGTTGGTAACTGGAACACATACAATGCTGGTACAAATGTAAAAGGATACAACCACTTTGGGAAGTCTGGCAGTTTCTTAAAACACATAACATCTATCATATAGCCCAGCCACTCTTTAGTATTTCTCTAAAGACTTGTTGATGAATGTTCACAGCAGCTTAATTCAAAATAGTCTCAAACTGAAAACAACCTAGATGTCTATCATTTGGAGAAATGATAAACAAATTATGATGTACCTAGACAATGGAGTAACACTTAGCAATAATAAACAAACCAACTGTTAATACATATGACAACATATAGATAATCCTCAAAAGCACTAGGCTAAGAGAAAGAAGACAAAAGGCTACTTACTGAAAATGTTTGTTACGATTGTTCTGGTGTTTACATAACTACATACATTTGCCACACCTCAGACTGTACACATTCAAAATTTGCTTATTTTTTATTATGTAAATCATCTCAGTAATGCTTTTTTTTTTTAAAGTAAGGAAGACATAATTCAAAATACTGGTTTCCTTAGGTGAAGGAAGACAAAGAAATTATATGAGGGATGTAGCACCTTAGTAGATGTCAATTACTGTTAATAATCGAGTTGTTAGAAGGCCTGTTTCATATGTTTATTACATTATTAAAACAGACACAAAAAATGGAAGGAGGGTTATGTAAGCATGGACAATGATACAGATAACTTAAGAACCAACAATAAAGACATGATTCAATTCTGTACTTCTGATGTAAAAATTATGAATAAAGTAAAATATAAATTGGGGTGAAAGTGATTTAATACTAGCTATTTTAGAAAACGGCACTTTTTAGAATGATTACTCATGTTTCACTACGTTGTTAAGTGCCATTTAAGTCAGTTTCTACTCACATTGACCCTATATAGGTTTCCAAGGAGTAGTTGGTGGATTTGAACAGCTGACCTGTTATTAGCAGTCCAGAGCTTATCCTAAAGCACCATACCAGGACCCCTCCAGTTTCACTACAACCAATATTAAAGAGATGAGCTTTTATAAAGCTGTGTGCTGAGACATGCTAACACTTACCCAGGGGCTCCACCAATTGGTCAACCAATCCCATTTTCTTTGCTCTGTCTGCCCGAATATTTCTACCGGTCAGCATCATGTCAAAAGCAGCAGGCACACCCACCTAGTATGCAAACAAAGACCAAAGTATTGGGGAAAACATCTCATAGTAATAACTATAGTTTATAAATACTTCAAATGAGCACAATAAATACTAAATTGAGAAAAGTCAAGCCAGATTTGTAGGTTATTTATCAATAAGCTGAGTATCTCTGGGTGGTGGAAATGATTAAGTGCTTTACCACTTACTGAAAGGTTTGAGGTTCAAGTCTATCCAGAGGGATCTCAGAAGAAAGGCCTGGTAGTCTAATTCCAAAAAATCAATCCCTAAAAACCCAATGGAGGCTATGTGCTGATGACCAGGGGCAGGCTCGTGGGGTGTACCATTTGGCTGGTTGATGATGCATGGAGGGGATTGTAACCATGGCAATGTAACAATATATGAAAGGATGAATGTAAAGCTAATGTTCTCCCATGTAAACTATCACATAATTCACAATAAAACATTTAAAAAAAAACCCCACAAAATCAACCTATGGAATGTATATCTACTCTGATACACACGGGGTTGCTATGAGTTGCAATCAATTCATTGTTGTCAAGTTAATTTGACACACTGACACACATTTAGGTAACTTTGAAAATAGAAACTTAAAAAGCTGAAGCAAAAGCTTTTACCTCTTTTTCTTTTTCTGTCTTATGGGATTGATTGATTGTTGTTCCTGTTAAGTGCCATAGAATTGTTACCAACTCATAGCATCCCTATATAGGGCTTCCAAGGAGCATCTGGTGGGTTTGAACTGCTGACCTTGCAGTTAGCAGTCCAGTGCTTATCGACAGCACCACACCAGGACACAATGGCATTGATAAAGTGGATAATCAGGACACCATGGCATTGATAAAGTGGATAATTAGTTTGATATGCTTTCTAAAATTGTGTATTTATATCATTCTGAATTTCCTATCATTTATATATTTAAGATTTCTATATTGAAACTAGTAGGGACTATGAGAAACCTGATAGGACTGTGAACAAGGTCAGAGTTTTGAGAGCCCTAGCTAGCTACTCTGAGGGAGAAAGATGAGGCTTTCTGCTCCCATAAAGATTTATAGCTTCAGAAACCCTATACATGGTTGCTATGAGTCAGAACTGACTTGATGATACTTAACAATAACAACAATAGAAGGAATTTTAGGTTTAAGAAAAATAGAACTCAGCTTGGGTTTCTAATGTGGGATACTGAAAGAATGGATTCAAGTGACATTTAAATACCAACTACAACAAAGAACAAACAAAAACTTCAGCAAATTTTCTACACATACAGGCTTATTCATTCACGCACCGAACCATTTTAACATTCCTATGAAGGAACATACACTACAGTCAGAAAACTAACACCACAAACGTTTCTATTTTTCTGTTCTAAGTTCACACTAACTTCTCTCCAAAGAACATGCCCACTGAGCCTGGAGGATCAGAAGGCATGAGGTTCAGTGGGCTCTCAAACTTAATAGATTACAGCATGAAGGTTTGACTGTCTCCCTTTACTAAAGAATTCAGGAGCTTGATGAGCCTTTTTCGGCAATGAGATCACCTGAAACAGATGATGGAGGGAAAGATCTGCCTCATACTCAGTATGAAATATGGTTCATGAATTTGAAAAACTGATTAAGATGGTACTGCGCAGAGTAGGAACAAATTAAACTATAAGCTCTGGAAGGGCAAGAAGGATCTATATTGATAGTTTTGTGCAAGTGGAAAAATGAATAAACAAATACCAGGAGTAGAAACCTGTCAGTGATTTCACACTGTTGTTGTTGTTATGTGTCATCGAGTTGTTTATGACTCATAACAACCCTGTAGGGGTTTTCAAGGCATCAGATCATCAAGGGAGCAGAAAGCCTCATCTCTTTCCCGGGAAGTGGCTGGTGGGCTTGAACTGCGGACCTTGTGGTTTGCTTATTGTCACAGATTATTTGGCTTCCAGACGCTACAATGAATACCCATAGTACCTATTTTTGAATGAGGAAATGGATCTAGAAGAGAATCCAGGTATAAAGTTCCAAAGTTCACATGTGGGTCTTAAACTCACCATTTTGGGAAGCCTTTGTGTGCCTCCTGCTCCTGGTAATATCCCCAGCAGGACTTCAGGAGTACCTAATACTGTTTTTCTATCTTTTGTTGCTATTCTGTATTGGCATGATATGGCAAGCTTCAAACAAATGAAAAAGAAAATCAGAAAGTTAGAAAATGTAGCTTTTTCTTCCACTACTTCTGTCATTGAAAACAGACAACAAAAATAACCAACAATTCAACAATTTCTACATCTAAAATTTTGGGGCAGTGATGACATTCTTAGAGACGTACAACTATTCTTACCCTCCTTTTCTGAGTTTTTCTCCCTTATTAACATTAAGGTTCCTACCTTATCTTCTGAGTTGCTGTTGTCAATCTGAATTCAGGTAGTTAAGTTTTTATAAGAGCATAATGCTGAAGGCATACCTTTTTCACTAGTGAAGCTACACTACTGTTTAACATGATTGTTTCAACATGACTTTAGAGGGCATTTTAAAACGGTTTAAAAATTATCCCAGGGCAACAGTTTCAGGGATTTATCCACCATCTATGTAAGAATTTGAAGTTATGTTCTACATTTCCCCTCTATGGATCAGCATTCTTCTATAAAATCTTCTATTAAAATGTTCAATAATGGTAGCTGAGTGCCATCCCATTATGGTTTCATGGCAAAGGAGGCTTTCAGTCACACATTCCATATCCTCCAATTCCTCACTCTCCTTCCTCAGTTGCTCCAAATTAGGAGATAGAACAGAAGCACAAAACACATTAGGCCAATTAACTGTACTGTCCCATGAAACCATGACCCTATATCTCCAAATCCCATGAGGTGTTTGGTTGAACATAAACAGCCTCAGCAGGTACTCTTTCCTTTTCGTTGTTGTTATAAATATACCCATCACTCAACTTTTGTTAACCTCTTTATGGGTTGCACATCTCCTTGGAAATCTGTTGAAAGCTATGAAGCTCCTAATAGAAACATGCACATAAAATTTTATATAGACTTCAGGTTAAGAAGCTCTGTACTCTTCAGACATTTTCCTTTCCAACCAGGCAAGGGTCTATTTATGGTCTTATAAAATAGGCTTATAGCGGCCTTTGCTTACACCATGCAAAAGTGAAATGCTTTCTCAGTTATTCTCAAATAAATCAAATTTGCTTATCTTTTTGTGCTAGGTATAGGTTTCCTTAAATACTATACGTGAACACATCTAGTTTAAAGCCCAGTACATGATAAATGCTCAGTAAATGGGTCTTTTTTCCTCTTTCCTTCACACATGCTCTAGGCCACGAGGCATCTCTTCTCTGAAATTTTATATTATTCATCATCTTTACTATTTACAAAGCATTGAAACATACTGCTTTGTGTTTATCAGGTAGACTTAAATAGCTTAAGAGCATAAATCACACTTCTAAATCTTAGCTCTTTGAATTTGAACCAGGTTTTTAGGAGACAGGAACCTTAGACATCTAGTGCAGACTTTCTCAGTTTATAAATGAAAACAACATGTTTCAACTGCTTTGTGTTATACAGATAGCTAATAACAGAATATTAAGGTTGAAACCTATCTAAAAGTTTGATAACACAAAAGAAAGTAGATATTATCCTTCTAGAGTCTCTTTTATTTCTTTTTCCTTTTTTTAGCCTGTTATTGTGAATTGGGTGGAAGGTTTATATTATAGAGCAGATCATGAGTTTTCCACTCAACAAATTACACACTTTCCTTCACTCACTGACAGTGGTCTCAGTGATGGGAATAAGTCTATACCTCAAGTCCTCCTCCCAAGCAGGATCCACTGATGGCAGCCACAATAGGCTTTGGGGACTTTTCAAGTTTCTCAAACATTCTCTGTCCTTCCTGTGACATTTGTGCTACTTCTTGAGAAGTCTTGCAGGAGGCCAACATGCTGGAGATAACAATCAAACAAAGGTGAAACAACAGCCTACTTTCTTCAACACCTCATCCATTTCATGCAGTAAAACTTATGAAAGCCAGACACCTACCAGAGAAGCGAACCTCAAATATTTTCCACTAAAGTCAAGTGACAGAAAAGTATTAAGACTGCACCTTATCAAAGGCAGAAAACTTGTGAGACCTGGAAAAGAAGTACTGCTGAGTTCCCGCTCTCATTGGCTTCACTGGTCAACAGTTCGAAACTACCAGTGGTTCCATGGGAGAAAGACGAGGCGTTCTGCTCCCGTAAAGCTTTACAGCTTTGGAAACTCTATGTAGGGTCACTATGAGATGGAGCCGACTCATGGTACTTAACAACAACAACCCTATCATATTCCCATACTTGGGCCTTGGTGTGGCGCTGGAGAATAGATACTGGAGTACTAATGACATGGCGCTGTGGGTTAATGCGCCAGATTGCAAAGCCATTTGAACTGCAAGGTCGGTGGGGCTCAAGCTCACCAGCTGCTCCTCGGAAACCCTATACAGGGTCACTATGTGTCAGAACCAACTCGATGGCACTTAAAAACAACAATGACGAGGTCAACAGTTCAAACTCACCAGCTCTCTCAGAAACTACGCAGGATTATTCTGCATCGGAACCGACTAGACAGCACACAAAAACTACATTCCAATATTTGGTAGTAAACCTTCAAATACTCAAAAGCATAAGATGAATAAACACTAGTATCTGAAACATCACCTCTTTTTAAATAAATGAAATTTCTGGACCCATAGAACAAGAAACAAAGATGTTTCCATAGTTTATTTCAACTTCTCTAACAAATCACTAGATTATAAAGCTTTGTAATGAGAAAACCATCTTTTGGTAAATATGTTCACTATCAGATTAAACATTTTCAGTATCAGGCAACTATCAGATTAAGCAGCTAACAAAATGATAGAGGGGGAAAAAAAAGGCTTTCAAGTTGTTCAAGGAGGCACTCATGGGTCTGAATTATCGAACTTGCAGTTAGCAGACCAGTGCTTATCCTACAGTGCCACACCAGGGCTCCCTCAAGTTGCTATTCTTGTTAAGTGCTGTCCAGTCAGTTCCGACTCATAGTGACCCTGTGTAGGGCTGCTGAGGAGGAGCTGGTACATTTAAACTGCTGATCTTGGGTTCACTGTCCAGTGCTGATCCTACAGCACCACATGAGGAGTTGCTTGTTGTTGTTATGTGCCGTCGGTCGGGTCTAACCCATAGTGACCCTGTAACAGGGATTCCCAGGAGCAGCTGGTAAGCTTGAACTGCCAACCTTGCAATTCAAACGGCTTTGTAGTCTGGCGCATTAACCCACAGCACTACACACCAGGACTCCTTGTTCTTGTTATTTTTGTTAGGTGCCATCGAGTCAGTACCAACCCATAGTGACCTTATGCACAGCAGAACAAAACATTGCACGATCCTGGGCCAACCTCACTACTGTTGCCACGCTTGAGTCCATCGATGCTGCCACCTGGCCAATCCATCTCGCTAGGGGGGGGTCTTCCTCTTTTTCTCTGACCTTCCACCTTACCAAACATGATATCCTTCTCCAGCGACTAGTCCTTCCTGACAGTATGTCCGAAGTATAAGAGATGAAGTTTGGCCATCTTGGCCTCCAAGGAGCACTCTTGGCTGCACTTTTTCCAAAATGGATCTATTGGTTTTTTTGGCAGCCCATGACACTTGCAATATTCTCCTCCAACACCATAACTCAAAAGCATCAGTTCTTCTATGGCCTTCCTTATTCACTGTTCAGCTTTCGCATGCATATGAGGTTACTGAAAATACCATGGCTTAGGTCAGGTGCACCTTAGTTCTCAAGATGACATCTTTGCTCTTCAACACCTTAAAAAGGTCTTCTGCAGCAGATCTGTCTAATGCAATATGTAGCCTGATTTCTTGACTGCTGCTTACACGAGTGTTGATAGTTGATCCAAGAAGAATTAAGTCCTTCCCCTTGCATACACAGAGTATTGGACATTGGCTATTCAAAATGGGGGGGCTACAAAGGCAAGAAGTGACTGGCTTACAAGCTTTCAAGAGGGAACCTAGATCCAGAGGGCATGAAGGAAGGTAGAATCCCCACTGAGTAGTATCTAATCCGTCTAGGTGGGGCTGATGAAAGGAAATGCAGATAAGGTCTCTTGCGATACAACAGTGAATAATTGCTGTCAGGACTATTGTGAGGGTTGGAAATATAAAGGTAGACATTGTGTAGCAAAGAGGGGAGTGATTAACTTTGCAATCTAGGAGCGGAGGTCATTGGGACCATCAAGGGAGAAGAGCGGAGAGCAGGATCCTACCCAGAGAAGCAGTGATGCCTGAAATGGAGGTAGAGACGATGATGTGGAGATTAGGCAGCTGGGAACTTTAGACACAGAGAGGGAGAGGGGCTATGTGCTGACGACCAGAACGCAGGCTTGTAGTATATACCCTTTGGTTGGGTGATGATGCACTGAAGGGATTGTAACCATGGCAATGAAACTATATATAATAGGATGAATGTAAAACTAATGTTCTCCCATGCAAACTATCACATAATCCACAATAATACATTAAAAAAAAAAAAATTAAGTCCTTGACACTTAAATCTTTTCTCCATTGATAAGAATGTTCTTTATTGGTCCAGTGGTTGAGGATTTTTGTTTTCTTTATGTTGAGAAGTAATTCATACCGAAAGCTGTGTTCTTTCATCTTCGTAAGTATTTTAAGTCTTCTTCACTTTCAGCAAGGTTGTATCATCTGCATATTGCAGGTTGTTAATGAGTCTTCCTCCAATCCCGATGCCACGTTTTTCTTCACTAAACCCAGCTTCTCGGATTATCTGCTCAGCATACAGGTTGAATAAGTATGGTGAAAGAATATAACCTTGTCATACAACTTTCTTAATTTTAAAGACTGTTTAAAGTTGCTCTATTCCAACAACTGCCTCTTGATCCAGGTACAGATTTCTCATTAGCACAATAAAGTTCCAGAACACTCATACTTCTCAATGTTGTCCATAGTTTGTCATAATCCACATAATTGAAA